GAAATGTTTACAGATGTAATAAAATAAGGTTTGTGATCTGCATCAAAAAAATTCAGGGGAAGAAGTCAGGGAAATGAGTGGGAAATAGATTCAAAAAAGTTTGAAATGATTGATAACACACAGGGTGATGGGTACACAAGTGTTCATTATGTTTTATTCTCTACCTTTATATGTTTTGAATTTTTCATAATAAAAAGTTTAAAAAATGACTTTAAAAAGTGGTACATCCAGATATGGGTCAGCAAAAATGGACAGAAAAGAGAAACAAGAGAATTAATTCTGAGCTATTAAATCTACACAATAGAAGCTCTCCCTACCACAGAGGGTAAATCAGTATCTTTTAAAGAAATTAGCATGCTTCATAAAGCTGAAAAGGAGTCAGGCACTAACAGGTGCAGAAAACACTATTATGTCCTCAAGCAAGAGACGGGCTTTCAGCCAGTCAATCCACCAGGGCCATTTCTGAGTACTACACTATTTCCCATGGGTTCCTTACTTTCATTGAGGATTCTATTGACAGCTGTATATATATATCTGATATGGCAAATCAAAACACAGATTGCTCTCCTAGAACGTGGTTCTGAAATGAAACAGAAGGCCAGTGTTCCGACTATAAATTACGACTTATCAAATCAACTACTTACCTCCCAATTCTGACAATTTACTTGGAGATGAATTAAACTTTAAGATCTAAGACACTCAAAGAAATATACACACAAAAACTTAGTAAATCTGAAATTCTGAATGGAAAACAAAAAAATTTAGGGATAAGTAGAGGCATTTTTTCATTTCGTCTATCTAATAAAGGTCATGCCTCTGGAAAAGAAAATGAGATGAATGTATGGCTCTAACAGCGTCAAAATACAAGAAATATTTTTTAAACCATGAGTGACAATACAAAAACAGTGAGCTTCAAGCAAGGAATTAAATACTTCCCAAGGATCAAAATAGATTAGCAGATGATTCAACAGCCAGATTAAGAAAGTTTTCAATTTAAATGAAGGAGAAAATATCTCGACTGATGTTGGAAATCTACATACCACAGAGAAAAAT